GGCTTAGGCTTCATCTCCTGAGCCGGCTTGAAAAAGTACTTGCTGTGTTGTTCTTAAGCTGGTTCCCCAGTCCCGCTGCCGCCGACGGCTGTAGCCACTCCAGGTTCCCAGGAGGGGCAACCAGGGCATCATTTGCTGGTGGTAGCGCCAGGAGGTTACTTAGCCCTTCTCCAACTGTTTTTGATGCCGTTTGCTTTGCGTGTGGGCTGGAAGCAGCCCTGGTGAAGGCAGCTTGCACCCGCTGCACCCCGGCGTGCAGGGCTCCCCGGACAGGCGGCTCACTAGAGGGCACCCGCCGGCCGTGCATGGTGTGGAGCGGGATGCTGGCAGTTCCCCCGCAGCTCTCGTGTCCTTGCCTCCGGCCTGTACATGCTGAACCTTTAAGGCTGACATAAATAGGTTGCCCTGAGGGACGTGAGACCCATGGTTGGGGGCTTGGCTTTCCTTATTTGCCTCTTGGTTTATGGTGCTGGTTGGAGACCAGCAAGGCTGCAGGTAATGGGGAGGAAGACAGATGAGCATGCTCTGCTCTTTTGCATTGTAAACTAGCCCCACACATGCCCAGCAGCGATTTATCACTAGCTGCTTGCCAAGGAGGAGATGCTGCTCCGTAATGAAGAGCATCTCGATTGCTTTGTAGGGGAACAATAAAACTCCGCCTGTGGTGTCAGAACAGGAGAACCAGAGCTGGTTCCCCCATCCCTGACGTGAGGATACCGGCTGGCAGAGGGCAGAGTTGGTTGTATTTATGGTCCTGCTCAGCTGCCCCTGCTTGTTCCCTGCCTGTGTTTCTGTGAGCAGCTTTAGGTAGGGCTGGTGTCCAGGATCACCTGTCGGCAAGACAGTTGGGTTGCACCCAGCAGCCGTTTCCATTCTGTCCTGCAGCAGCTCTAAGAGCAGCAATTAGACTTGCTGGTAACCTCTGCCAGTCTTAAGCCCGCAGGGAAGTTTCTGGCTCTGCCCCCACAGTCCTCTGTCTGTGTAACCTTTCCTTGCACCCTGCCAACAAAACCAGCCTGTCCCAACCTGCTCCAAAGCACGGGAGCTGCATAAAGTAGAGCATCTGCGTCTGTCCTGTTCGCCAGCCGCTGTGTTGTGCTGGTGAGGTCCCCCACCCTCGCTCTGCCCGCGCTGGGCGAACAGCAGCTCTGCCAGCGGCAGGCAAAACAAATCCTCCCGGCTTTAACGGAAAAGGTATTGGAGCAAGGTGGAGTTGCTCACCTCTTAAATTTGACTTCTTAACAGGGGAGGCTGGCCAGATGCACGCTGAGAGGAGATGGCTGTTCATCTCATGCGGGAAACAACAGTATTTCATCTTCCTCGCAGGTGCAACCACAATGTGTTTCTGTGGGGAAAAAATCCTGTTCTGTATCTTAGAAAATAAAGGATCCTTTTTTTGCTGCAACCTTGTCAAGAAGCCAGAGCTTGGTATTCCAACCCTCCTCGGCTTCTGCCCTCTGAAGTCCCTCCACCTCACCGTGCCTCTTTTTTCTCTCATCTTTTGTAAGAAAGTGATTATTTTGGGGCAGCGTTTGCAGCACTCCCGAACTCCCTAAAGCAGTTGCAGGTCTGTGCAGGAGCACCCTCTAAAACCCGTGCTCTTCAGGCTGTTGCTGGGAGCCAGCAGCACTTCTTCCTCCTCCTCCTTGGGGTAACGGACAGCAGAATCCAGCCCACTGAAAATAAACAGTCTCGCTTCATCCAAACACCTTCCCCAGAATTATCAGTGACCCCAATGTCGACATCGGGAAAAATAAAAGCTCTCTGAAACCCAGCCTTTCGGAGGTGAGCCGCACCGCTGCTGTCGCAGCCACCAGCACAGGCTGGGGGGGACACC